AAAATTGTGTAAGACTGAGAACTGTTAGCAGTCCTTTCTATTGGAAGAAATGTCTCTACTATTGTCAGATGGGACTCCTTACTTTTGCAATTTTTCTGTGTCAGCACTGGAGTTTAACAAGCAAAACACAGCAGGACCTGAAAATACTGCTTCAATCTGTCTGGAAAAAAGGAAAATTCCCATAAAGTACAAGTGCAGTAGGACATGAATTCAAACTGTAGTCACCACTAGCACATGGGACTCCCACCTGTTGATAGAAAGCTGCCCATTTATTCTACCTTAAGAAATCATGTAGAATAGTTCAGCATTTCCAGTGTCACTAATAACTGTAGCTGGAAAAGTTCTAAAAAAGAAGCATACATCCCAAAATGTGAAAATCATCTCCTCCAAAAACCTTGCTCAGGGACATCAGTGTGGCTGATAATCAAAAGCCAAAATGTGCCCTCATGTGTGTCCTTGACTCCATAAGGACTTGAGAGGCTTTTTCCTCACACTATTTTCATCATCTCTGCTTCGCTACTTTGAGGTTCAAATAATTTATCATCTGAATTTGAAAACAACAAAAAATACCTGCTGTTTTGTCTTTGCCTCATTTGATAAGGATGCAGCAACTCCTAACAGGAGTTTAGGATGGTAAAACATCAAATGAGATAGAAGGCAGGCTAAAATGGTTATATTGTCATTAACTTACAGTACCCTTAGCTCCTACAATGTGTTTGTGCTGTGCTGTAGGTCTCAAATGAACAATTTGAGAGTAAATGAATAAAAATTGTATGCTTGGTTAGTGGGGTGTTCATGACTCCAGATGTTACAAACTTAGAAGTGTTCACTACTTCTGTTAAAATTATTTGTGAAATAGAAATTTGCTGGTTATGTTGGGAGTCTTCTTCCTTCCTTTTGCTGTTAGAGTACAGTTTGTGATGGAGATAACATCTGAAACTATGTCTGCATCTTCACACCTTAGGATGTAGCACTCTTAGCACTCTGTTCTGGTTGTGTTGTCAGTCAGAAGCCAAATAAATCCAGCTGACAGGGCACTAGTGGGATTCCTGCTGTTTGCAGTAAAACTTCTCCAGGGTTGGATGAGCCAGGGGAAGCAATATTATGATGCTGACAGCTGGGTATAGGTCCTTGCTTTGTTTAATAGTCACTGCAGAGGACACTTTAGGGTGTGTTGGAAGGCACTGTCACTGCACTGCATTGAAAAATATTGGCAGACCCTAGCAAGGCATCCGACCCTCATCAAATATTCCTCTTAAATTAAAAGCATATTTAGCTATTCTGCTCAGCTTGTTCTTAGGAAGCCAATAATGGAGTTGGATCCTCTTGCTCTATTTTGAGGATGTTTTATTGAATTATGCATTGAGTGATGTGACTAATTTGTGGAACAGAAGTCCCTGTGCATCAGCTGTTCACGGTCGTTTTCCTGGGGGGAAGATAGAACTTTTTATGTTAAAAGACACTGATCATCCTTTTCAGCATATCAAAGAACAAATGTATTGTATGCTTTTCTATTGAAAAAAAAATAGAACAAATGGCTTTTATCTGTATTTTCATCACTGATGCTAATGGGACTTGTAGCAATGTAGATAAAAGCCAGTCACACTGTTGAGATGTGGAGTCCAACAGAGCAAGGTACACAACAGAAGTAGGAGGGTTCATCCCTGTAGGGACAACCTGCAAGTGTGTGACTCAGCCTGCTTGGAATAAACCATTGGTGTGCAAAGCCAAGGCCCTCCAAATTGATGTACACAATCAATCTGATTAATGCAGTGGCTGTGCAAACTTACTGAATGCTCAACTTTACTGCTGCCCAGATGGATTTCTCCAGAAAAAAAGTTTGGTCTCTGCATCCGCTCAGCCATAGGAGCACATCACGGAGATGTCCGTGATGGAAGAGATGCAGGGCAAACAAAATCAGCTGGACTCTGACTGGAAAGGAAGAGATGGGACTATGAGGGTTGAGCTAGAGCTCTCATGAATTGTGGGCATAATTGGGAGTAAGCTGAAACCTGCAGGCTCACCTTGAAGAGCAGGAAGGGAGTGAGGGGACAGTGCAAAAGGGTCAAAGGGGTAAACCTGTGGGGTGATGTAGAGATTAAGAAAAAAAAAAAAAAAAAGAAAACCAGCAAGCAGCAGGTTCTTAAAAGTATATAGAAATACATAGTAGAGGATAACATTAACTGGGAGCAATAAAGTTAGTCCTCACAGCTGATCACAAATTGTAATGTCACTGTGAGCAGAAGGAAGTTCTGTGGGTGGACCCTAGGACAGAGGCATTAACTAAGACTAAGAACTTATTATAGAAGGCTTATTCAAAAGAGAAATTAGGCAAGGAAAGGTTTTGATCAACCCCCCTTGCCTAGGGTTCCACCTGTAAATGCAGTTCTTGCACCTCTCTTGCTATCCAAGCTTAAGAAATGCAACATTGCTCTTTAATAGACAAGCCAGAAAGGCAGGCTTTCTGTAAGGTGATATGGCTGCTGCTGTCTTCAGAGTATCATTTTCATCTTACCTGGAGCTGTGGGACAGTAAAGGTAACACCTGCCAGCACTTTCTTTCTTAAAGAAAGAGCATACTTGTGACATGTGCTTCTGAAAGAGCACTGTGTTGTCATCTGATATATTAGGGCACTGTATTGTCATCTGATATATTTGGATATTCTCAAGTCCACAGAAAAAAATGGCAAGTTATCTTTTCATCACAGGATATTCATAGTAAATAGAAAAATAAAACATCTCGCCACTCCTTGCTGCCCAAAGGAAGTCTATAAACAGAACTCCTTGGTGTATCCAAGTAAGCTTCAGAGGGATTGAAGAAGTGTGGTTGAAGTGTGAGTAATTCTACTTATAGAGAATCTGTCAAGAATACAAAAGGAAAGCCTGGCAGTGGAAGTATCCCTGTACCTCTGGTAGGACAGTGACCACGCAATTCAGTGCAATTCAATAGAACTTACCTGTAAGTAGATTGGCTCCTCCCTGTGTCGGCTGATAGAGCTACAAGGTGATTTACTTACAAGAATGTAAGTGCAAGCCTTTAAATAAAAAGAACTGCTATTGACTTTGAGTCACCAGCACTGATGAATTTTTGGAGTCAATTTACCATCATTTAATACTATACTGTTAGTGTGTGGCCTTTTCACTTCTGCCAATAAACTTCACAATACATACCGAAGCAGGACTGAAAAGCCTGTGAACGGCATGGAGACACTATTTGTTCAGTGTTGCATTGTGACATACTCCTGATCTTTTTTCCTTTGCTTCCTTAGATTTTTTTAATTTTATTTTAAACTTCCTTATTTCATTTCTGTTAAGTGTGTGTGTTCATTTTAGTGATAGCGTAGTTCATTGTGGAAGTTATTTAATGTTCAATTGTGAATACTAGGCCGAGGCACCTAGCAGCATTAATATGTTAGTAGCCACCCAGTCATCATGCTTCCCATGTCAGCTGTAGAACACAAAAGTTATACTGGAAGTACTTAGATAAATCTGTTTCATCAGAATGGCTATGTACTTTCATTTTGTCAAAATACCTGCGTGTTGGCTTTCTTTGCTGCTTAAATGCTGTTCTATCTGTTCCTAACTTCCCCTGTTTAACAGCAGACAAACCCAGGGAGCACTGAATGAATCGGATGATCCCGAAACAGGCTGTCTAACTGATAACAAGCCAACTTCTCGACACTTCTATCCTGTCGCCTTGCTGCTTGTCAGCTCACACTTGCTGGTTGTGTGGCTTATTTTAAGTCTTGCTTTGCTATTAGCCAAATATCAATAAACTTCACTTGTGTTCCTTTCTTTTCTACAAACTGCAACAAACTAACTCTAGAAAAAAGGAATCATGTTGTAATATTTCTACAGACTCAGACCCCAAGGATTCATCTTTAAGATTCCAATGTCTGAAATGTACTGTGTTTTCATTCTTTTTTTCTGAACTCTAAGAAGTATACTATGCATTGAGTGAATTGATTTGCTCCTTCTGTTCATGGTAGAGCTTTCCCACTGTAATTAGCGCAAAGAAAGCCTACTTACAATGCTGTCACTGTATGGAAGTTGTGGAATCCTGAATGCTTGAACCCCTCTTTCCAGAGTAATTAGTCTGACAAAAAAAAAAAAAATTAAAAATTTGCACAACACAAACTAACCCTAGACAAATATGGCAGGGCAATGGTTTGTGAGACTTTTCTTTTGTTGTGGTTTTTTTCATTGTTACTAGCTGATGGAATTGTTTTCGTTTAATAAATGATTATTACTTTGCTACAACTAACCCTTTTCTGTAGAGTAAATAGAATGTAATAAGTTCTGTTTTGTAATGAAATTAGCCTGTTTGTAATTGTTGCTTTAGTTGCTTTTGCTTTCAAGACACTTTTATATTCTTTTTAACAAAGTCCTGTTTATGTCTTGATGCACCACTTTGGCACTTGTGACTTTTGTATTCTATGTGAACGAACATCCTTCCTTTTTAAAGCAGAGGTGGATTGGACTGTTTGAAAAGCCATTCTCTCTTTTTTTCATTGTAAAGCTGAACATACAGGAAATGAAGCAGAGATGAAACTTTCCTTCACAAATCTCTAGGGCCAGACTTAATAAAATTCCTTATTCCTAGAATGCGCATTTTAGGGCAGTGTATACTCGCACATATATAGCAAACAAATTGAAAAAAAAGGTATGAAAATGTTTAAAAGGCAAATATATTTCTGGAATTAGAACAAAATCTATCATTCAAGTATTTAATTTTTTTTTTTACTCAACTTTAAACTGCAAGGGCAGATATATTAGGGGGAATGGAAAATCTTATCACCTATTTCTGAGGGAAATAACTGTATCGGGCCTGGCCTTGGATTTAATTCTGTAAGATGTATCATCACTCGTGGAAAACAAAAATGTAGAGTTGAATCTTTGTTATTTTTACTTCAACTGTTGCTGAAACTCTGCAATGAACAAATAAAGCATATTTATTTATTCTGTGTTTCATGAAGTTGTACTTTTTCCCCCTTTCACTAGAGAAGGATGCCGCATAGAGAATGTTCTGAAGAATGTCAAATGCAGAAAGTATGCATTCAACATGATACAGCTGATGGCTTTCCCAAAGTACTACAGACCTCCAGAGGGGACATATGGAAAAGCTGACACCTAAGTTTAACAAAAGTGAAATCACGAGCATATATCATGCTAATTAGTGAATATAACAACTGCTATTTATGACGTATGAATTGGGAATGTATAACCAGTGGAGGTGTTATTTTTATAAGGTTTTATCATTTTATATTGAAATTAATCTGGTTAGTCATTATGAAATAAATACCATGGAAAAGCAATGGACTGGGTATTCTGAAAATCAAATATATTCAACTTATCTTTGTGAAATTGAAGCTTAGTATGACTCATAAGCCAGCTGAAATTAGTTTCTGGGGTCATTTGATTGAAGATTAAAAAGGGAAATGGCATTTGCTGTAGGAACAGAGATTAGTAATCTGGAAGGTGGCATTCTGACTCCAAACCAAACCCTGAGATTTGATTTAAGGGGTCTCTTACTACTGGAAAAGGTGTTTTCTGTAACCAGCAGAGTACTGAGGTGATGCTCTCTAATGATTAAACGCTTCACAGAAATATTTATGCAAGATGCTAATGTTAATATCTGGGCTAAATATAATTTGGGTAATTACAATTAGCTTCTTTACATAACTTCATAATATGTTTTTAGTAATTGCAGACTGTGATTTCAGTAATTCTACTCTGATTCCCTGCGGTTCATTTGGATGTATCACTTCTGGTTTTCTGCACCCCAGCCAAATATCAGTTACTTCACTTTCACATGAATCGCACTGAAATCAGGGAGATTATTCCAGAAGTAAGGTGACCTGAATTTGACCTCCTATTTAGTGTAAACCCTTAAAAGTAAATTTTCTTTAGTGGTAGGGAAAATAAGTTGTATATACAGGAGTTAATGTATCTTTGGACTATGAAAACATATGTTATTACAAAGCCTGAAATAAATGTTATGAGTAAACTGGTGTACTAGGACTAGTTAGTCACTGCAGCTGATTTATACCAAATCTGTAATGCTGCAGGTAGACACTCTAGGATGAAGAGCTATCAGCTTTAAAAATAAATGTTAATGCTCTGCCAGCTTGTGTTAGTCGTGAAATTTGTCTTGCAAAGAACATTTGTGTTTTCTAATTGGGTCTATTTACTACCTTCTTCTGCCTCCCAGAGAGAAATACAATTTAAAATTCCCAAGTATTCACTGGTTACTGACCTTTATGTAATGCCTTCTTTCCATATCCAGAGCAGAAGTATGACAAATGTATCCTAATGAAACTACCCTGGGAATTTGAGCATCTGTAGGAAATTGTAATTGCCATGGATAAAGAAGTAAATGTTTGCTTACTCCTATGGAAGTCAAAGAAATCTCTATACACCATGACTTTTAATTTGTTCTTTTTAATCCATTAATACCCATTACTGGGTATAAATCTGTAACTATAACAGAATTTAAGAGCCTGATTCTGCAAATTTTATTTGGGTGATCCATGGAACTGATCTATAATTTAGCTAAAATTAAATGTATCTTGTATATTTGCAAGATCAGGCTTTGGAGTTTGTAGGAAAACATCAGAAAGAGATCCTCATTCTAATATTCACTGACTTCAGTGGAGCCAGAAATTCACCTATACAATATATTAACTAATTGGAACTACTTTTTCCAAGAAAAGTAGATAATGTATGTAGTGTTTTGGTGCATTAGTTTTTTATTTCTATTATATAATGTGCTGTCATTAATTGCTTCCTTTTTCTTGGAATGTATTACTTCAGTATATGTCAGAAGAGTTGACAATGCATCACAGATAAGCTCAGACTGATGAGAACATAATGCCTTGATTTCTTCTTGTCATGTACCAGTAGAAGTGGACAGTACACATTGGGTGGCTGGATATGTGCATAAATTAGTGTTTGTCTATGAATATAATGTAGCTGGTCTGTGTGAAACTTTTTTGTGGATTTATGGAGCATAATCCTTCCTAGAAAAGTAATGTTTTCTTCTGTCAGGCTGCTGCACTAGCCTTCACTACATACATGTTTATTATTAGCTTAAAAAAGCCCAACATATGCAGTTTAGAGATAGTGATAAATTCCTCGTGGATCACTGATATATCCCCAGGTATGTAGTAGAGAATGCCAACCATTGCACAGTAATTCTGAAACAATCTGTAAAAATCTCATTGGAGATGGTGTTCTCTGCTGGGTGCTGTAGATACCTAGACTTCTTTATCTGAGTCCCATTGGCATTCTGTCAAGTTAAAAATATGAAATTATCTAGATTTTCTTGTCAGGAAAAAAGTTTTTCAAGATTTTGCCTCAGGATTTTATTCCTGCCCAGGCTCTAAATTGCTGTTGTCACTACCATGTTATTTTTGTGAAGTGGTTTTTCACGTTGAAGCCATGGAAGAAAAAATGGCACTGGATTACTGTCCTTTTTGTTTTAACAGCCATTCTTGTGAAATTAAATAATCTCTTATTTGCTAAAGATTATTAAGACAAAACCACAATCACATCAGTCGGCTGCAGTGAAACTTCATTGTGCTCGGGCCATTACAGAAGAGTTGGCTGAATTCTGCGCTAAATAGTACTGAAATTTTTCTCACTAATATTTGGATTAGAATATGTAGGTCAGGAGAGCTTTATAAAACCTTCTGAGTGCTCCAAGTCTCCTGGAAAAGCCTCATTGCTTCAGTAGCAAAAAAGGCCCAAATGTTGTTTTTTCAGTGCCTGCTGGTGGTCCCTGTGGGCAAAGGCTGTGCCATCAGCTGACCATGGATTCAAAATTCGTGGGTTTTCTGGTATGCCTTTTATAAAGAAACAAAGAGGGGTTTGCTGCAGGTTGATGGTTGTGTTACATGGAGTACATTTACTCTGTGTGGCAGCTTCTTCCAGCCCTGTGAGTTGTTTGAATGTCTAACAGAGGCGTTAAATCATCCCTAGGGTCTTGCACATTATCTTGTAGCTCACTGTGGCTTTCAGATTAGTAAAACTACACAACTTAATTTTTATAAGCAAACTACATTGTTTGTTTTGCAGAGGAATAAGGTAAGCATAGTGATTTTGATGGTGGCTTTGCAAAAACTGTTCCATAACTGCTCTCTTAAAACTTTTGTAAGGTATAAAATAATCTGCTTTTAGAGGAGGGCAGTTCTCAAGGGCCAGAAGATGAAAATTCAAAAATACATCTGGCATCTAAAGCCAAATCTTGTCTTACAGATGATATTATTTGTAGAAATCAAATCAGGATCTGTCTTGAGGAATCCTGAAATAAGGGCTTCTAGCTTTCAATATTTCTATAATGCATCACACACTTAGATGGGGGTTTTGTCCCACAGAGTAATGACTAAATAGAGAGCTAGTCTGAAATACCTAAAAATATAAGGAAAGGAATGTTATTTTTTTTCCCAGAAATTATTGTTATATTGTTATAGTACATGTCTGTGACTAATATTATATTATCTATTGTTTATAATACATGTTTATGACTGACATTAAACAGTCAGGTCTTTTTTTTCTGAAGTCTTTTGAGGAATTTAAAATACATTCTGATTAATGTTTATATTTTGGCTTTTATGGAGCAATTAGGAACCAAAAATTTTTAATTATGTTATCTGATTTTTGTCTATGTGAAGCTATGTATTTTGATGGAATCCTAGCAATGTGTGTGTTATAAAGAAAAAATAATTTAGGAGGACAACTGAAACAAAATATTAACTGAGAAGTAGTGTTAATGAAGCCCTTTGCAATCTTAATTTTTTGGTGTCTGAACTTTTCTATTACATAAGTGAAATGAGGAAATCAACAAACAATTTTATGTCTAAATCAATCTCTCCTGATGAAAATTCACTTAGTTGCAGTGGAATAACTTGAAATGGTATTCTAAATCTTCACTAGTAATTTTGGTATAATGAAGTGCAACACTTCATTCTGAAACCTGCTCTATAATATGCCTATTGAAAGTTTCAGGAAAAACTTATTTTTATTTCTAGATTAAACACAAGTTCCAAGAAATCCTTTGGTCCATTTAAAAAAAAAAAGCAGAAAATGCACTGAACATCAGCTAGTGTAATAAAGAAAGGAATTGCATTGAATTCAACTATGCAGCAAAATTACTTGTGTGAATTAATTTATGTAATCACTTAAGAGTCTTATACATACATTGTGTCAGTTGGTTATGTTGTAAACTTGAAACCATTGATATCTATATTTATGTTCTTTTTTATTATAAAGAAGTGTACTGTATAGGCAGTGCCATGAGAAATGAATTTTCATCTTGCTTTTCACTTCTTTGCAGCTTAAAAGCATATATTTACAATGGAAATGCTTTAAAGTAATTTGCTGTTCTTGAAGACACAAACTTACCTTGTATGTTACATGTTTACAAAAAAAAATCATACAAATGCTTTTTTAGAGAGAAAAAAAATCAGAGACTTCAGTCCTTAAAACATGGTTTTTTCCCTTAGCCATGCAACACCTCGACTGTTGTGTTGCCAAGTATTTGGCTTACACTCTGCAGGACTCAAACATTTATTTTCTCTTTCTTTCATAGCATCTGCTGAATAAGTAATATAACTGCCATGACTATCAGCATGACACTCATGATCCAAGGTTAAAACATTTGCTCAAATATGAGCAAATATTTCAGGATAAATAAACTACAAGAAACTTGTAGACTACCAGCGTCTCCATGTTCTAAAGAGCTGAAACACAAGGCACAGGATTTGTGTGCTGACTGGGAAAAAGAGTTACAGTAGGAGTCTGACTATGATAAAAGAGTGCCCTGGACATGCCAGGTTCAGAGTAGTGAGATTTGAACCACACTGCTCTTACTTAAAGTTCTAACTGTTGGCAGTGGTATTTGATTACTCTTTCCATGCATGCAAAATGCTTTAAAAGTTTTCAGCACTTCTGTTTATGAATGGTCTGACTTTAAAACTTCTAAAAAAACCAAATTACTTTGGTACCTGTTTTCTTTTTGTGTAGCTGTTCCTTTCTTAAATTCTGGAGCACATAGGGGTGTGTATAAGTAACATTAACAGGACTTCAGTCCGCAGCATGTGTTTGCCCAGAGAAACAAAGCACAACTATAGGAATTCAATGCTTTTTATGTTTCAGGGTTTATAATTTTTGTTTCATTGCTGTTTGTAAGCCATATCCATTGTACACTATGTGTATATTTTTATTTAAATAAATTTAATGTTTATTTTTTATGTTTCTGACATTTTTGTTTGTTATTAATTTTTCATTGTCATTGTGGTGGTGTTGCCCAGAGGGAGGATTGTCCATGCTGATGAGAGTGTGTTCCCTCCTAAAGGAGTTGGTGGGAGCCCACTCAAAGGTCTCATGACCACAAGGAGCAAGGATTTAAGAAAAGTTCTGATACAACAGTTAGAAAGCCTGCAATGAGCAAAAATTAATAGTTCCTATTCTTCTTAGTTTTACCATAACTTTCATCTCAGAACCAGGTGGGTCATGCATTTTCTAGTGCAGAGCAAACAAAACATTCACATGCCCATAAGGAAATCCCTTTCACATAACTCTTGATCTGTAATTCAGGCAGGATCAACACTTTTCGTAATGAAGATTTTAAAAAGGTGATGTCAAGCTTTGTCTGGCATTACATCTTCACCATCTCAGTGAATTACCTCCTTGGGAAATAATTGCTTCTGTGCCGTTTTCTTGAGCTTCTGTTGGTATCTAGATTTATTATATGATCTCTCACCACAATGAAAGGTAAGTTTCCCATGGTGGGCTGAAATGTAATAAACAGAGCTTATTTTTGCGTATATGATAGAAGGTGGCTCATCTGTACTATCAGTACTATGAATAGAAGGTGGTTGCATAATTTTGTATCTCTGTTTATATGTTAGCATTTTTAGTTTTACTAAAATATATTTAGTGAGATTTTAATTGTCATAAAACAGGCAAGGTATAATATTATATACATTATAATATATAATACTTATATAATACTTGCAAGGTTCTTGATAACCTTTAGAAAACACTAGGAATTAGTGCTTCTTTGGAAATAAGTTAAAAAGCTGTTAGCATTCAGCTAACAGGAGCCTAGGAATTCTGTCTCTTACTAATAAAAGTGAAAGTCTTTTAAAATTACTTTGTCTCACTTGGCATGTTTATGGATTTTATTTTCCTTCTAAACTGGGAGCCACTTTCTTCTCACAACAATGTAAGAGAGAAAAAGAAAAAGAACCTACAGCTGAAGTGAGATGATAGAATAATATGATAGTAAAAATATATTTTCACTGATTCCCTTTCTAATGTTACTTCAGGGTATGCTTGAGTATATGACATAATATTTCTGAACCACAGTCTGTAGAGTTCTACACTGGGATGACCATTGCTGCCAGTAAGAGAATGTGTTCACAAATGCTGCTTCTGCTAGGCAAGAGCTTTCCTGTGAGTTTAGTGATGAATCTTGTACAAACACAGCCTTTAATAGGTATGTGACAGATGCTCTTTACGCAATTAAGGACAAGAAGGTTTTAGATGCAAACTAGACTGTGTGCTGCTTGCTATGCCCAACTAAACAGACCTGTGTTTGCATTTCTGTGTAGGCTGTCTGTGCCCAGTCCTAACCCAGTACACAAATGAGAAGTACACTTGCTCTGCTGCAGGGAAAATTCTTGACATTATTAGAGTAGATGTAAGCTGCTTCTAAATAAGCTGGGATAAGAAGTTGAATTGAAAGAGTTCTTCCATGTGTTTGTTTACATGTATATACGTACATATTATATTTACATTTTATTTTTTTTTATATGTTGTAGGATAGCAAAGGGCAGTGACACATGATCAGTTGAAAAATTGAACTTGTGAAATTTCTAGCAAATACAATTTTGCTATTAGAAGTGTGGCACCAAAGATAGGCTCACATGAACAAAGCTGTGGCTTGTAGCATGCCTGGTGGTATGTGACTCTAATGGTAAGTTGCTTCTGGGGAAAAAAACAGAGAGAGAAATGGGAAAGGGAAGGTGTTTCCCAGACTGGAGTCTGCCATTCCTGTCAGGAGTTTGAAGATCTCAAGCCCTGGCTGGCTGTTTCCTCTAATAACTCTGTTGTCACTAACTGAAGTGGGGCTTGGTCAGGGCAATTCTTTCTGCTGCCAGGTTATGAGCTCGGTATTCATGTGCTCTCATGAAAACAAAAGGCTTCAGTCAGGGGACACAAAGAGGAGGAAGGAAGGGGCTAATTCTGTCCCAGTAGAAATCACTTTCCTAAGTGTCTGCTCTAGTAGTACCAGACCACAGGTGCAAAGCTGTGAGAATAACAGCAGAAGAACAAGGAAAGAATACTGCTATCCTTCCCCAGCAAAGTCTACATGTTATATCCATTTTTCATGGAACAATAATTTTGATTGCTGCAATTTACAGGACTGCTGACTTGAACAAAATTAGAACAACTGTCATAGATAAGCAGAGCAGAATTCACCCCTTGGGTGATACCATTCCTCAGTAGTTTTGTTTTAGAGGCATTAAAGTTTAAGGTCTGGTCCTAAAGTCATTATTCACAAGCAGAGAATCAGAAATGGGGCACTTCAGGTGAGAAACTCCAAGGACCAGGTTCTGTGAGAGGTTTCAGAATCATTAACATTCCTCAACTTTGGTTCAGAACTGCAAAAAACATTTTGTTTTGTACAAGGCCCCACACAGGAAAAACATATTCATAGTCATGGCAAGGAATTTGATGGTAGTTTCCTGTAAATTATTATAATAAGTAGCTGATGCTAATGAACTTGCATACAGAAGGAAATATATGCCATCAACACAGTCTCTTTAGAAGGACGCTTTTAGTGGAGTAAAATATTCAAAAGCATCTGAATGGGATCCGGTTTTGTTAGTAAGATGTAGTACCCAACTTTCTTGGGCACTTATCAGCATTTAAAACACATCACATAAATAGGAGCTTAAGTCTGGTTTCCTACTTAAATCTAGGTAGATTCTCAATACTCTCTATTTGAATTTAACTTCTCTCTGGTATGAAATATTACAGTCTGGCTTTTCCTGTTTTTCAAACAAGACCAGAGTACCACGAAATAGTGACAAGGTTGTCAAACAATGTATATAAATGGAGTAATCTGACTTGATTCTGCTTGCAGATGGAAACTCAAAGTCTTAATGACAAAGATGAGACTGATGTTACTATGGTTAACATCTGGACTGGTTTCCAGCAGCCAAATTCAGCTGCCTGCTCTGTAATATGGCAGCTCTCAGCCAGACTCAACTGGAACTCAGTAATACCAAAAGAACCTCTCAATAAATCCCAGCCTTCTTACTACTCAGCAACATGCATTATGTTCTAGTGTTGGGGATTAATGGGCAAGCCCAACTGTCCCCCATCACCCCATCTCTGCATCATGGCAGGTGGGTTCTCTTTTCAGAGAGCAGCTGTGTTGTGGTGGTTATGTGAGTGAACTCAGGGTTCAGCTCATGGAATATATGTGAAGCCCCCAGCAGATAAACATAATAAAAAATAAGAACACAGGTAATAAAATCAAGGACCAAAGAGATCTATGAACTAGGTAAGGAAGGTTATATCTAAGCTCTGCATTTTAGACTGCATTCAACTTTTGTCTTCACTTGACATGTTCTTGGAGTTGGAAGATTTTGCTGCTTTATGACTGTGGTAGCAGCTACAATGGACATACACTGCAGGAGTATCAACATAAAAATAACCTTGAACAAATAACAGGATTGTTGCAAGGGCTGTTGCTGATTGGCCAAACAGGTATTGTGCACAAACATTCTCGTACAGGCAAAATCATTTTGAGGGAAAAATGGTTGTACCGCTTTGTACATTCTGCCAACAGCAAGGGATGAGGATAGTGCTCAGCTGAGAATGTAAGGAGTGTAAGAATGCATCAAGGCAGTCCCTTTTATGATTGATAAAAATTGTAGTCATATCCAAAGATTACAAAGCATTTTAGAAGTTGATGGCAAGTCCTAATGTAAATAGAAATTAAATGCTTCTAAGTACTTTAAATTAAGTTTAAATAGGTTAATTATTTACACTGTTCAACAGGAATATTTGATACAAATCAAGGTAATTTCCAGCGTGAATTAAAAACAACTCACAAACTCACAAAATAACATTAGTTACTATAAATCAATACTTTTAATGGCTACCTTTACCTCCTCATGATACACTACCTCCATTCTTTGTTGAAAGAGAGGATTATTTTTTAAAAAATTAAAAATCAAGGTTTTTACTTTTTTAATATCAGTATGGGAAATAGAAGTGATAATTTCATGAGTGGGAAGTAGTAGCTGTTAGCAGGTTTTTAGTGTGTGAATCCAGTTAGTGTGCTTAGGTATAAAATGCTGAGTAAGAGTTTAAAAAAGAAAAACATGGAGCACCCAGTTTATATTCACATATTCATGGGCATAGTTAATGGACATCAGCAGGGGAGATGTGATCCCACACTTTTTAAAAATCAAGAGGAAAGCAGTGCACACCATGCAATTCCCTTTTGCACTAAACTTATTAAGTCAAATCAGTTTTTCCAAGCACATAGTCTAGAGTTCTGGCACTTAATTCCTTTTGATCTTCTGCCTGCTAAATTCTGCTTCCCACTGTGCTACCATGCCGTTTATTTTTAACGGATAATTTGTTTGGACACCATTAAAATGAAAATACTGCAACATCTAGCACTATTAAGGCACTGAAATTCCTCTGAAGTTATTACACATATAGCCATTTGCACAAGGGAAAATTGTAGAGTTAAGAAAATGCCGCTGTTACATTCAAGAGCATGAAGCACACAAAATACAGGATCTTGACTTTTGCAAAGCCAGCATTACAGAATACTCCCACTAATTTCTGTGTTTGAGGTGCAGCTCCCATAGCTGTTAGGTGTCTGGAGAAGAAGACTGCTATGATGTGATAGGTTTTAAATGGGAGATTTTCGGGCTGAGTCAATTGATTTTTCTTTTCATTACAATATGACGTTAATTCAAAACTTTTCCATGATTAGTGTTCGGAAAAGCATATTTCCTAATTTTGGATTCTTTTTTCAGCTGAGCACTACTTAGTATAAGGTGTTTTCTGTACCAGTAATGCACATCTTTGGCATGAGGGTTTTCATTCTCCTTACACCCTTCTGTGAGGAGCATCTTAAAATGTTTTAAATATTTCAGTATCAATTACACTGTGATTATACTACTTTTATTTTTTTTCATAGAAAACTAGTAGTTCACTG